CCCCCCATTATCGACATCCCTCACCAGAATGCTAACAATTGTTATAACCAAGGAACCTACACTGACACATCATAATCACCAAAAGTTCATAGTTTATATTATAGTTCACCCTTGGTGCTGTACATTCTGTGGGTTTGGGCAAATGTATAATGATACACATTCACTATTATGGTAGCATGCAGAATGTTTTCATCACCTGAAAAATCCTCTGTTCTCTGCCCATTCGTCTCTTCCACCCCCTTCAGTCTCTTTGTAGGCATCTATTTCTTTGTGTAATTTTTCTTTAATTTTGGTCTTCTCCACACCTGTCTTAAATGTGGGTGATTGTGCCCATTTCTTCACTTATTTGCCACCTAGCCCAATTGCTCATAGATATTTACTGAGCCCACTTCTCTTACGAACCTCAGACATCTATCTCATTTTCTCCTGATTATCTCTTTTGGAATTTACCACCAACACTTGAGCATTGCCCAGACTGTCCTCTCCTTCCCACCCACCTGCTCCACTGCCTCTGTTTCTCACCTCTGTGAATAACAGAGTAATGTGAACCCGCCAATATGGAATATGGAAATTTTTTTCATTTTGTTTCTTTTATTTCAAACATCCAGGTTTATGAAATTTAATTTTGTGGAAAGAGATATAGAAAGATCTGAAGATTTTATTCAATACCAGTGGAAAAGGATGTGTGACATTTTCTCCAACATTCCTGTCACTATGGAATATCTCATGAAATTTCATTTTGGTCAACTTTTTGTAGGAAAACCCAAGACCCAGCACAGTTATCTCTGTCTAGCCTGTATTTTCTTCTTGATGATCTATTTTAAAAAAAAAAAATCTCCTGCCGTTCAAAAATAAATCTGTTCTGTGGGATAGCCTGATCTGTAGTCACCCAAGGCAAATCAGTTTGATACCTCTTTTTTTTTTTTTTTTCTGTAGAACTTTGCATCAGTTTGGGGAAAACTGTTGACAGTCTTTTTTTTTTAAGATTTTTTTTTATTTGTATGAGTTGGGGGAGGCAGGGAGGAGCAGAAGGAAAGAGAGTCTGAAGCAGACACGACACTGAATGCAGAGCCCAACATGGGGCTCAGTCTCGCCACCCTGAGATCATGACATTGGTATTGTGACCTGAGGTGAAACCAAGAGTCAGACGCTTGACTGACTTCACACCCAGGTGCTCCTTTTTGACAGTCTAATCGCATTTTTATCATTCTCTTTTTGAGCTTCCTTTATTTTTTCACAGGCAGTGAATGAAGTTCTAATAAAGATTCCTCGAACCACAGTTCATCTCAGGCATCTCATAAACCTGCCTCCCAGCATGTTAGTCTCTTTTTGAGTAGACCAGTTAGCGTGTATATAGTTATTTCCTGCTGTTAGTATGATTGTTATAAACTGTTAAATTAGAATCTACTCTTATAATAGTTCTGGTTACTGGTTTCTGTTATAAGGCCCAGGTCATATGGTCATGACAGCCAAAGTGAGGAGTCCCAAGGCATCATGATGGTTGCTGTGAATTATTCAGAGGGGTCTAAGATACCGTCCCTCCTTTTATGATACTTAAAAATAATTTAGGAGGTAAATGAAACATCAAAGTAACTATTAAGAGCAACTTCCTTTATACTAATAGCTGAGTCATATAGTGTCTCTGAGGTGCTAAGCACCATTCTGTGCACTTTACTTGTATGACATGAGGGAATTGGAGCACAGGGAAGTTAACCTGCCCATGTGGACATGCATCAGGGTCTGCTCTTTACCATTATATTCTATAACCTCTGCATTAAGCTGGTCTCTTGAGGTTAACATCAAAGTCACCTCCTGAGTTATAATCTCTGTGACAGGTTGAGAAAGTAATCAGCCCATCCAGCCATGCTGAGTAAGTGTGAGTTTGTTATTGGACTTTGAGGATAAATACTGTGTCTTATTCATCATTGCATCCCCAGCTTCCAGTTAGGTCCTGGCACTCAGCAGGAACATGATGAATGAAAGATTAATAGTTGTGTGGTCCAATCTGCAAAGTTTATCTATCTAGGTAACTCTCATTTAGTTCTCATAGCAACTTTAGGAGCCAGGCACTATCATTATTCTCATTTATAGATGAGGAGATGGAGCTCAGAAAAAATCCTGGTCACGCTGCTAACAAATGGCCCTGGCAGGTTTTGAATCTGTGTCTGACCAGTACTCTGTGCCCTAACCACTTATGCGTACTGCCTCTGAGCCTCTGTCTGTTTTCAAAGCTGCAGCACCATATATACAATAAAGCAGATTTTTTTGAGGAAACCGTATTCCTCCGTTCTGTTAGGTGGAACTGGAATGCATTATTTTAACATCTCTTAACTGTGAACATTGAGGTTAGTGATATTCACCAGTGACATCTCTTAGTAGAAAGGTACCAACAACTTCCTCTGATGCATATGACTGACTTATTTGATGACTTGAAATAAAATAACTAATACGTAATGAACAGTGGGTTTGTACTTGGCATTGTGCTGAGCCTTTACATGCACTGCCTCTTTAATCCTCAAGTTAATTTTTTTTCTCAAGTTAATTTGGCCGTAGGTTCTATTATTATAGCCATTTTATGGATTAGAAAATAAAAGCTTATTGTGAGATTCAGCAATTTTCTTGAAGTCCTATGGCTAATGGGTGGATAAAAGTGAATTGTCTCTAGCTCAGAATAACTCACGATGGATACAGATAGTTGAAGATATGACACTTTTCCTTCAAATTGGCTTAATTTGTACACCTTATTTCAGAAAGAAGGTCATCTCACGTGGACAGATGGATCATCTTTTGGCCTTAAGAAAAATGAAATCTTTTCTTTTCCACTGCTACCCAAGAATGGAACAGATTGCTATGTTTTACAGCAAAATGCAACTGGATCAAACTATTTCTTCACAAGATTTTTCTGTTATGTTCCATTGCCGTATATTTGCAGATATGACTGTAATTATTTTCATTAATATTCTTACATCATATATCTCACTTTATTATTTTAAAGATAGAATTATGATTTCTAATTACACATAATCCTCCTCTGTATTTTTTTCAGCACCTTCTCTGCAGGAAAACCTTTTGATCTATATAAAGGATGTTGGAACAACTGAAGTTGTATTTGGTTGGCATAATTTGAATGCTTGGAATAATTTGAATAAGTGGCTAAAACTGGGATATAAAATTATCATTAAATATTATTTAGATTATACAGAAGAAAAATATTTTGAAAGCATATCCCCAAATACTACGGAAAAAAGAATTACCCAGTTGTTTCCTGGCCATACTTACAGATTTTTACTCTTTGCAATAAACGAATGGGAGGCAAAAACTATGTTAAGTTCAGTGTTCATTGTTGAAACACGTAAGTCACAAAATATCTGAAAATCTGATTTTTCAAATTAGCAGATATTTCCTGAAGATTTTGAGTTTTCTCATAATACTCTGGGCATACCTCATTCTTTAACCATTTTAAATTACAGTGAATCTGTTTATGTCCTTGGCTTTCCTCTTAATCTGTAAACCCATAAGGGCAGGAATTATATCTTATTAGTCTTACAGCACCAACTAGACTAGCGCACAGCCCACAGTGAATAATCAGGACATTTTTGTGGAACTTAAGTTTTGATACGTGTTAAGAGCAAGAGATAAACAGGCATGCATTGTGGATTTTGAGAGGCTTCCAATGAAGAGAATTAGAAAGAAGTAAAAGTAAAAGCAAACCAAAGATAGCAAAGTGTAAAAAAATGTACGACCCTAAATTCTCAGTAACTCAGTGGTACATTTAATAAATGCTTTCTAGAATTCAGAAGATAGGTGGCAGGGGAAGAGTCATGGAGAGGAGAGGCTTAGATTCAAACCTGAAGGAAGTAAAGTACATTGTGAGCAAAAGTGTGGAGATGGGAGTTTGTGGGAAGAGTAGTTGTAGGTTAATTGGGAAAGATTTCCTTAGACATGAGGGTAAAATCCGTTCGAGTGGTTAAGAGGTACCAGATTTGGGAGTGCTGGGGTGTCAGTCTCAGATGATTGGACTTGACCTTAGAAGCATTGCTCATCCATTCAGACTGCAGTTTCTGAGACTTGCTTTACCTTTTACAAAGCACTTTTAATGCATAATCTCACAAAGGTTGTACCTTAACTCTGGGAGTAGCTATATAGAAACTAGAAGACAGCTTCAGAAAGGTTAAGTAAACTGAGTAGAGCAACATGCTTTGTTAAGCCACACAGGAATCCACAGGATGGTCTTATTTTAACTCGAGCTATTTCTAAAGAAAGAAAAGGAATGTGTGTACGTGTGTGTGTGTGTGTGTGTGTGTGTGTGTGTGTGTTGGGAGGTTAGAGATGGATGTGGGTTTGAAGCTGATATGCACAAGGTGCTTTTTAAAGAAAATTAATCTAGAAGGATTAACTGGGAAAACCACTGACTGGCACTGGAGGAAATGGTTTGGAGTGGGGAAATATTTCTGCAAGAGGATGGATGCCTGAGTTCTAGTGATGACAGGAATGAAGAGTAAGTAATAGGAAGTCCCTGCTCTCTAATTTGACTAGACAGAGGAAGTAAAAGATGTGTAAGATGTGATCATGGAATTCTAGAAGTGTCCTCTTTTGGTGGTTTGTAGTAAAAATAGTCATTGAACTAATAATGTCTGTCATTTTGCCAAGTGCTCTACATTCCTTACCTCATTTAATCTTCATAATAAATTTTCAAGGCAGTTGCTACTATAATTCCCATTTTACAGTCAAGAAAATGGAGGCTCGAAGGAGTAAATAATTTACTCAGAAAGTAGAGGCCTACAATGGGAAAGTCGGGATTCAAATCCAATTTTCCTTTTCTCTTCAAACTAGAGTTTTATGGAAGTACTGAGAGGTGAGAGATTACTATGCCAGACTGTATCACTAATATAAAGGGTTTTTTTTATTTTTAAAATTTCCTAGGCCCGTTATCAGCTCAAAATATCACAGTTACTCATGTGACCCCAACAGAAATATTTTTACACTGGAATCCTCCAGATCTTGCATCTTTTCACCATTATCTTGTGACTAGTTTGAATGTGGAAAACAATAAATCAGAAGAGATGTTTGTTGAAAAACTCAACACATCAGTGAAAATCGGAGATCTCAAACCTTTCCATCATTATCTGATATATTTATTCAGTGTAGGGGAAAGAGGAACTTTAGGATGCTCTGAGAGACCTATTTCAGCCGTTACAGGTAAGCATGGGCCAATTTTGCCTTTTAATAGAAAATATAAACTTCATATTTTGAAATTTATTTGGTGAAATTTAATTATGTTGATCCTTCATTGGTATGAATACAGTTAAACATTTGAGTGTTGAATCAAAATTAAGCATGGATTCTAAATACTAAATTCGTTTAGATTTACATGGACTATTTAAACATCTGCGTTGTTCCTACCAGAGTTCCTAGAAGATATATTTCTTATAATAGCCTTGGCTCGGAAATAAGTTATCACGAAACATGAAGATTAGTTCATCCAGTTCTTTTTAACACACTAGATCCGACAAGTAAGGTCTGCAGATTTATTCAGTTTTACTCCATTCTTGATTTTCTCACACAGTGTGATGAGTAGACCCCTAGGGGGCAGTATCATCCCAGGACTTTGGGCAAATGCATTTCTAATCATTCACCTCCTTATGGTAATTTTGAATCATTGTCTAGAAGATAATCATTGAAGTAATCTGCCTTTTAATTAAGCAATATATATATTAAATCTTTAAATCAACCTTTTTGGAAAGCTAAAACACTGTTGTATGAAACAATGCATAATTAAGCACGTTTTGGAGTATATCCCTATGTGTGTAATATGTTTGCACGTGTGTACTTAACATGCCTATATGCAAAAGGCCTTTGGCTGAAATCCTAATCAAATCATACCAGCTAAAATTTAAACACACTAGAGCTGAGGTAGGAGGAATGGAAAATGTGCACAGCCGTAGATCAATTAGTCTTCTACTCACTGGGAATACTAGCCATACTTTGAAAATAACAACAGTAAAAGATACTATTTAATGATTATTAAGTACAAATGCTTAATATACATGTATTCAGTGCAGCAAATCCTAAGCAAAAGTATTTTTCCAACTGGATAGTATAGCTGATGTTTTCTCTTCCTTGAGCTCAAAGCACCCATCAATGGGTAAATGCTTGGTTGAATCTTTCATGCTTACGAAGATGCTTTCTTTTTCTTAATATATATGTTTCACGTGTACAACATAATTCAGCATCTGTGTGCACAAGAAAATGATCACTCAAAATTCTAGTTGCCATCCATCATGCTATGATTGACCCCCTTCGTCCTTTTTGCCCACTCTCCAACCCAGATCCTCTCTGGTAACCATAGATCTCTTCTCTTTAAGAGGCTTCCATTTTTTTTTTAATTTTTTATTTATTTATGATAGTCACACACACAGAGAGAGGCAGAGACATAGGCAGATGGAGAAGCAGGCTCCATGCACCAGGAGCCCGACGTGGGATTCGATCCCGGGTCTCCAGGATCACGCCCTGGGCCAAAAAGGCAGGCGCTAAACCGCTGCACCACCCAGGCATCCCCAAGAAGCTTCCATTTTTAACTGACAGGGAGACTAGGAGGATTTCTCACAGATTTATTCATTTTGAAGTTGAATTAAAAATCTCCCATGGCATGTAGCTATTTAACAGGGGGACAAGATGAAGGTATGTGTGTGTCTACACTTTTAATTTTGGGGTCATTTGCTCTGTATATTAACTATAAGCTGACACAGGAGTGCATATGTAGGAAAAGAGCACACATCCAGTGCTCTTTTACTCTCCTAAGGTTAAAGCAATATTCTTTTTTTTACTCGTTATTCACCCAATAAATTATTTTTTAGTATCAGGAACTGAAAAATAGGTACTAGAGATGCAGGGGTTTATAATAGGCACCAGAGATGCAAAGGTGAATAAAACCTAGCTTCTGCCTTTAAAGGGCTTATATATTAATAGAGTGAGACAAGTAAGTTAAAAAAACAATGATCATGCTATATTATAGTTACTACAGGGGTTATGCTCTGGGTAGTATGGGAATATACAAAGGGATCAATTAACCCAGAAGTCTTCTGGTGGAGTTATATATTGCTTCAGGGGGAAGAACAGGAATTAGCCAGGAGGTAAGAGGATGCTGTAAGTAGGACAAACAATAAGTGCACAGGCAGACAGGATCAAAGAAGAGGCATCTATGTAGGCATAGGTGGGAAAGCCAGACAAGGCTTTTAGAAGGGGCTGACATTTGAACATTAGCAAATCACAATTAATCTGACAAGACGAGAATATAGGGGGCATGTAGAGAATCTAGAAAATGTAGGCAAAGCGCAGAATGTGAAGAGCCTTCATACATTTTAAGGAGAATATTTTATTCAGTAAAATTTAACTTTTGGGGAGCCTTTTGAGAATGTGGAAAATTAATGGACCCTCTCCCATGAAAATGCATGTGCATGCGCAGAAATCCCTTTATCAGAGACTCACCAAATCTCTTTTCCTCAATATCTGCTTATGAGTGGCATTCAGTAGATTTCATCCTCCACTATAGTAAATGTTTGTAAGTTTTGCAGCTATACAAATTGTTTCCCCTTGGAATCCTGTGGACAGTTTGTTTAATTGTACTATTCTAGCATTCTCTAATAGTTTTACATAAGTAATTAATTTCAATGCCTAGAGTCAGACCAGCTAGAATTTTGTGATGTTATATAGGATCGACAGATTATGGATCTGACCCAGAGTGATATTTTCCTGAAAACTTAAAGTCTGGTGTTCTATTGTGTTGATAGGAAATGAATCTCAAAACAGAAGAAAAGTCAAGTTATTGTTTCTGGGAACCAAATAATGATGAAAATCATGGAGAATTCTTTAAAGATTAAGTAAAGTGTAACTACTACATAGTTCAAAATTATGTTATTACTCTTGGACATGAACTAAGGATTGATCTTCGTGTTGGCGAACTGTAAAAAGTTTAGAGGAAGCATAAAACACAGGATAAATAATTAAGACGAAAAGGAAGATGTTACTATTTCCAAAGAATTGTATAGTATTAAAAGTCACAAGGCTTAATAGTCAAGTAAATTGTGTAAAGAGATAAGCCAAAGTATTTTCTTCAGTTATTATGATAGAATATCAATAGCGTTCTCTGATTTTTTCTGTAAAAATAGCACACTCTGATAATGCCCTATTTCCAAATGAATATCATACCCTTCAGAAATTAGAAAAGTAGTACAAAGTTGCAACTATTTCTATGATAAATACCAGACCCAAAGCTTTAAAAAAAAAGCCAACTATATGTTAATAACTCCCAAGTTTGTATCTTTAGTCCCCAGGCCTTACTCCTGAATTTCAGAGCTATGTATGTTTACTCAGTAATATGTCTCATTTGGATATCTAATAGATACTGTAAATCCAACATACCCAAAATAGAAGGACAGATGTTTCCACCCAAATCTGCTGTACCTATAGCCATGTCAGGTAAATTCATGACCCTTCCATTCATCCAGTTGTTTAGGTCAAAAACCTTGAAGGTATCCTTGACTCTTCTGTTTTTCTTCAGTCTATACCCAAGCTATCAGGAAATCCTGTTGTTTTTATCTTTGCAATAAATCTAGAATCCCAATATTTGTCCCTACTTCCCCATCCAGGCCACCACTCTCTCTTGCCAAGAGTCCTGGGTTTGCCTCCTCTGTTTCAACCAGTGGCCCTCTGTGTAGTTGGTTATTAACATGGTAGCCCAAGTGATTCTTTAAAATTTAGGAGAGATCATGCTTCTGCATGTAACTGTAGTTGCTACCTGTTTTGTTCAAAATAAAAGCCCGTGAAGCCTCTGGGTCTCTGTTAACCCCTGGCCTCATCCTACTACTTTCTCCTTTCACTCTGGTTTTCTTTCTGTGTTTGAAGATACCAAGTAAACTCCCACCATGTAAAAGCTTTTGCTTTAGCTGTTTTTCTTTTTTCCCCCTGCCTGGAAAGCTCTTCTTCCAGATATTGCATGTCTAACTTTCTTAGCTTCTTTCAAGTACTTTGCTCAAAATCTCATTTTTTCAAAGACACCTGCCCTGGACTCCCTATTTAATACCCCAACTTCTTCCCTACAGCTACCTCATTCCTGGTGTCCTTAACCTTAGCCTACTTTTTCTTTTTTTTTCCTTAACACTATCATGTCTAAAGTACTATATCATCTACACATTTGTTATATAATTGTTTATTGTGTATTTCCACCCATTACAATATAAAATGCATAAGGCAGTGACCTTTGTTATTTTTTGATGCCCCTTATATGCCTAGGTGAGTGAGTGCTGGGTTCATAGTAGGTGCCCTTGCGCATCTGATGAAAAAATGAGTAATCTTGACAATGGGAACGTTACTCTGATGGAACTCTCAAAAATCTGAAGAATTTGCTAAAGACTTTCTAGTTTTCCTTGATGTATATAATGTGCTTAATCTTGTTGACAAATCTTGCATAAATAATAAGATATTTTTCCCTAAAATTGAATCAATTTCAAGTCATGATGATGTAGGGATTTGCTTAATTTACTTTAAACATGAACCAATATTGGATTAAGACATTTTTACTCCACAGCAAGAGTAATGCTAACAATAAACTTAGATATATGTATCTATTTATCTTTTTCTTTAAGGTATTAATCCTCCTCAGAAAGTTCATGCTAACCCTGAAGATGTAGGAGAGGACAGTATAATTCTTCAGTGGGAATCCCCACAAGATGGCCACGAGGTCTATATTCAAATCAGACCTGTATCGGATACAAGAGAAGTCATGAAGCTTTTTCTAAAGGATGCTAATAGATTCAAGTTTGATAATTTAACCCCTGGAATGACATATGACATTGGAATGGCAACAGTGATAAATGGGAACTTGAGTGAGCTGGTAACTATTCAACAAACTCTAAGTGAGAATCAAATATTTTTCATTCCTAACAGATATCTGCCAATTTGGGGATATTGTAGAATATTCCCTGACACACCCCTCTGGTCACCGGCTTTACCTTTCTAAGTAGATTGTTGATATAGTTATCTAATGGTTGTCCAGGACCTGGAGTGGCTTGCATTCGTCTACTGAAAATGCTTAATGCTTGAATAAAGGCAGCATTGTTTATGATTAGAAACTTCACTCTAAAGCCACACTATCTAGCTTTGAATCTGGGCTCAACTAGTTGAGTGTCCCCAGGCAATGTACTCTTTTTATGCCTCCATTTATCCATTTGTAAAAGGGGAGAAAATATGAGTATTTAGTTCATGGATTTTCTTGAGAATAGCTGATTTAGTAAAGGTAGGGACTTAGAACAGTGCCTGACACATAGCTTTATGAATATTTGTAATTATTATCCTATTGACAAAGGCATGCTGTTGTAGCACACTGAAACAAAATATTGACAGTATTTAAAAGGTTTAGGACCAAACCAACAGCAAATCTCTATATTCTTTATCAAATAAGAGTAATTCACTCAATAGATAATCATTGAAAATCTATTAAGGAAGGAGAAGGAAAAGAAATAAGTAAATAAATTAAATAATATTTATGGATATTTATAAATCATGCTAAACATTAGGAGGGAAAAAAGCAAAGTGATGTGATGCAAAGAGTAACTGAAGAGGGTGGGTGGTTCTAGTATAGATGGACTGTAATGGACATTGCATTTGAATGGAGGCCTAATAGATGAGAAGGAGCCATAGTGCAATCGGATGGAGGAAGGGTACTTCAGACGTGAACTCCTAGCGTAAAGACACAAAGGCTATAAAACAAGGAATAGGTTGGTGTATCTAAGAACAAAAAGGCCAGAACACATGGCATCTAATGAAGAGGGAGAAAGGGAATACGCAATGGTATTGGAGTTCAGGGGTTAGATCACATAGAGCTTGTATGCTGTGCTTTTGAGTCTGTTTTTTAGGGCAATGGGAAGTCACTGAAGGTTTCATACAGGAGAGTGATGGTGTGATCTGTGTTACAAAAATTTCTCTCTGTGCAAAGAATGATTTGTAAAGGGCCAGAAATGGAAGTAGGGCAACTGGGTAAGAGACGGTTGTGGAATTTAGGCAAAATATTATGGCAGACAAGGGTGGGAAGGATGCCGATGGAAAATAGTAGATATATTTTATAGTATGGGCATAGGAAGTCTGAGCTTTGGTGATGGACTGCATGTGAAGAATAAAGGAAGGGGGGCACCTAGGGTTTTGACTTCTAGCCCATTTAGGTAGAAGGAGGTAACTCTGAGGAAGGAAAGAACATTGGACCCCACAGGGCCTTTTTTTCTGACAATAGGGCAGCCTGATGGAAAAAAAGACCTGGTCCAAAAAATGATGAACCAGTAATGTCCTCACACAAGTAACATCAAATCTTCTCACTTTGTCCTCCAAAGACTAAAACTAAATTTGTGTACAGCGCTTTCATACTTAAATTTCTGAGAAAACATGCCTGAAAATAATTATCATAGGAAAAAGTTAAGAAAAAGAAAGCACCTGAAAAAAAGATTCTCCTAAAAAGAATTATTTCATGCCCATCAAACAACCCAAACACTTTTACTGGCAAAATGGAAGTACCAAAATTAAAATTCATAGATGGGAAATGAACTGTAACCAGCAATTAGCACTATGAGGTTACAGTGTCCCCATAGTGTCTTGGGGCCTAAGTTTTCTCTCTGAAAATTTAGATCATTGAATATATTTTTAAATTAACTTCCAGCTCTAAAAGTCCTATCTTTTTTTTTTTTTTTTTGAGTCCAGGAAACTCAGCATATTGCAACCTCTCTGTTATCTAAAATATAAAAACTTTATGTCCCTTTCTAGAAAATGAACTTCTTTGAAATCATACTCAGCCTTTTATCTTCAGGTGTAAGCACAGTTCTTGACTCTGTTTCACTCAAACACTTATTTGTAAAATGCTCTCCAGCATAGAAACTGAAACATGATTAACATACATAAATTCTAGGAAAGTGATAGAATTTGGGGGTTTGAAGTTAGGACAGAGATCTTGCAATGCTTCACCTGATATGCAATTCCTAGCATAGTGCCTCTGATCATTTTGTAGTGCATGATTGTTATCTATCGTAAGGCATGTCTGTTTTCCAGAAGCATCACAGAACAAACCTACTCCCTGATTCATGTGAAAGAACTTCACTTGTTCGGAAATTGCCATTAGGTGTTGCTGGTTTCTATAGTTTCTTTCTTTCTGGTAAATTATCTTTAGTTCCTTGAAGCATATCACCATTACTTATCATTCTATGGGCTTTTCTCTTCAGTTCTAAACATGAGAGGCTGTAGAATTATTTATCATTTTTATTTGTCTCAGATGATGAAACAAATATTACCCTATCCCAAGGTGCATAGATAAAAACTAATTCTCTGTATGCATTCATTCAACAAACATTTGATAACTGCTATTTATCATGTCCCGTTTCTCTCTTCCATGAACTTTGAGATGGTTAAGCACAGAGGGACATTTACCTTTTAATGACCTTTTGTAGACACATGGAAGAAAATAAAACTTACATGTTCATTGATTTCCCTTTTCCTATTGAAGCATATTTGTCCATCTCTCTAAAGCATCCTGAAAATAACCAGCAAAACTTGACTTCCAGTTATGATTGTGCCGCACCTGAACCATTACATGTAACCTTTAGGAGAAGGCAGTCCTTAGGAGCACAGACCTTGGAACTGGATTGCCTTGGATGAAATTCCAACTCCATGATTATCAGCTTACATCCACTGGGAAGTCCCTCAACCTTTAATGGCCCTCAGTTTCCTTCTCTCTAAAATGGGAATGATAATAGTCTTATCTACAGTATGAAATTAATGAAATTTAAGGGCTCAGATCCCAAGCAAGCACTATGAGAGTGTTTGGTGTTGTGATGATTTTTATTTCTCAGTAGGACTAGACTGGTTGGTGGCTTTGAGGAACAATGAGCATCCCTAGTGTTTCAACCATAGGAAAGCCATTTCAGTTGCCTTTGTAGTCTCTCATTGTTGGAGGAATTAACTGTACTTTCCTTGAGGGAAGGAGAGCTAGTATCTGAGTTTCCTTTCCCTAGTATAGAAGAATAAATTTAAAGATAGCCTGGAAATCTCTGAGACCTTGTTCTCCCTTGCCTATAATAAAGCCTTTGAATCTGGTCCTGTTCCATTTGTCTTATATTGAAAAAACCTCATACAGCCCCCAAGGATACCACTTCTTTTGAAAAATCTTTTTTAGGAAAATGGGTGAAGATAAAGGTCACAATCACTGAAGTAGAAACACCTAGAAATCTCCAGAATATGGCTATACCTCTCTCTGTCTCTCTCTCTCCCTCTTTTTTAAGTGACACCTTCTCTTACTTGAGTTTCCAGAGGTTCAGGATATAGTTTTGAAGAAAAGAAAGAACTTTGTCTCATTCTACACCTTTATAGCCTTGGTGTTCATCTGCTTTGATAGGTCATTATATTGATGCCATTGGTCCTAATTCCCTGAACAGGTGGAACTGATGAAAAGCCCCACATTTACCCACTATAGAGAATGTCACAGACTCTATACACTTTTAGAAACTAAATTAGGTAATGCCTATTTAAAGCATTGTCTCTCCTTAGAAAATATCTTCAGCGCCTAGGAACATGGAAGTGAACTGTTTCCATGACTACACTGGCCACTTATTTCCAATCTCCAGATATTTAATTTCTACTCAGGCATATTTAGAAGCTCTCAGATCATTGCTCACACATTCAGATGGGTTGGATACTTGTGGGACATCATACTAGCCTTGGAAAAACCATGCTTAGTGTAAGAGCTTTGTAACTGAAGAGAGCTCTAAGGAATTTAAAGAGGAAGCCCACAAAAAAATTAGTGATGACAGAAAAAGGAAAGTTAATATAACTGGAAAAGGGAAAACATAGTAAAAGTGCTTTGAAACCCAATTATATGCCATATGGTATTTGTTATGGTTAATATATTGAACATTTCCTCGTAACTACCCTTTTTCAAAGGCAAGGAAAGTTATATGTTACAAATGAATGAATTAATAGAGATATTGCACAGATTTTATGTTCTAGAATGCTAATTATAGGTATTTGTTTAAATCCTTTTACACAGTACTGGCTCTGGGTAAACTGGAGGAATCACATTATCAAATACAGTGTCATTGACTTAGAACAAGTTTCATTACATCAAACCAGATGTCACAAAGAAAACTGAAAAGCAAACTATGTCTAATTATTCTCTGGAGGAAAAAATATTTCTTCAGAATGTCTATCTTAGAAGAAGATACCTCCTTGGAAGAAAGACAGATCTAAGGATATGCTGGGTAGTATTTCAATAACCCACAAATGAAATTGAAATTAAAATTGACCTGAGGAAAAAAATAATGTGAATAGAAATCATCTAAAATTTCAAATCTGCTCTAAATAGTACAGTGGAGGATTGCAGTACAAGAAAGCTCTCACGTAGAGGTCAGCGAGAGTGTGAAATGTAAGCGAATCCTTCCTCTCAACTGTTGCCAGGACTGTGCTCCTAAAAATGAAACGAAATGTCTGTTCAAAATCCCTGTGCCTACATGATCAAGTCTGACCTCCATAGCCTGGCATGCAAAGCCTCTCGCAGACAGCACCCAGCCTCAGAGGTGGCCTTGCATGCCTGGTCCCTGTTCCTCACACATACCCCAGGCTTTACCCACCCTGAGGACCTGCCATGTGCCTGCAACTAAGTGCTTTGGGTATAAATACAGTTTCTCATTGACTCATCACAAGGATCTTACAAAGTAGATCCTCGTCTCCTTCCCACTTCAGGGATGAGGAAACCAAGACATGGAATGACGTAGTAGCTTGCCAAAGATTAGTAACTGGTTGCCCAAGACTGGTGATTAGTAACTTGCTCTGCTAGTAAACAGCTGAAAGAGCTTGCTATTCCCTGAATACACGAGGACGATGACGCCCTTTGTGGTTTCCATGCCTCCCTCATGGTTTTCTCTTTGTCTGCAATTCCCTTCTTGTCCCCTCTCCCCACCACACACTCCTTCTGGCAAACTTGTACTTTAAGGTGCAGATTAAACATCATAGACTCTGGAAGCCTTCTCCAGTGATCTCTGCTAGAATTGTTTTTTTCCTCTATTCCCAACAGCTTGTGTTCATGTTACCAGCTCCATCCACTTGGGATTCTGGGTAGTGATTTGTGTATCTATTTCTTGAGATTGGGAACTCTGAATGCAGGAATCTGGCCTTATTTCAGAACTCCTCCTAGTATATAGGTTTACAATGCATTTGCTTAATAAATAGACCAAAAGTTTAAAAAAATCAGAACCTCTTAGATTCTTGTATTTTTGAAACTATGATGGAGAATCAAAAAATGAAACTTAATCAGGTACTTTCAGTATATGTGTACGTACGGTCTATCAGAATGTCCACCTTATTTTTCTGTCTAATACTGACATAGTAGACATAAATTTGCACAGGCATTTATTTTCACATATTCTAGAACATGCCAGACAATAGAAAGAAATGTCTTTGAAATTAAAAAAAAACCCACTAACTATGAATCTTTTTATCTTTCAGAGCCCAAGCCAGTCCAGATTGTCATCCCATATGAAAGTCATAGCACCTCTGTAATCTTATTTGTTCAAATGCCTGATATTGGAGTGTTTGATGGCATACATATTGCAATCGAAGGAGGGCCAAATGTAACTAAGCCCTTGAAACATGACAATAAAATAACTGTTGGCAATTTAACCCCAGGCACGGAGTATAATTTCTTTGTTTCCATCACCAGTGGGACTAAATTAAGTAATACGTATTACGTGCCTGCAGTAAAAACATGTAAGTGTTTGGGACTTACATAAATTTTTTCTTGATTTTGATTTTGTGTACAATTTTGTATTAGTAGGCTACATTCACTTCAATGCAGTTGTCTTCAGAGATCTTTTAAAATAATCAAATACCTTACTGCTAAGCCTGGTCTTTCACTGCCCAAGTATAGAGAAAGAGCTAACTTTATGTAAAACTGAGAAGTCATGAAATTTTTAAATCTATCCATTAGCAAAAAATGTACTTGCATATTAATCAGAACTTACAATGATTTATTTGAAGAGTAAGGAATGTGAATAATTTTGGGCAAATTATGAGAATTAGGTTATATTGTTTGTCTACAGACACTTAATGGTGTGTCTCAAAGCACATAATCTTAGCATGTGTTTCCTCTCTCCATGCTGCCCTTTGTCTGGAAGGAGCCAGTATATATTTTACTCACTTCTTTGCATATTTAAAATTAGTATGTGTTATAATTGTTCATACCAGTACTTACATTTTGAATTTCAATCAACTTTGATTCATCTTTTCTTTAAGTCACTCCCAAATTCTACAAATATTCATTCTGAACACTGAGAAACATGACATTTATCATTTATTTATATTGACCCAGGAGATATAGAAATGAGTGGCACAGAGTAATAAATGCCATACAAAAATCATATGCACTCTAAAATATGTTATAATTTTGATTATAACATATCTAGGTTCATATTTTGCTCTTCCTATGAATATTCACATATTATTATACCACCACGTGTCTTCTTCCTCCCAAATTGTAATCTTAACATTCCTGTTTAAGCTCAAGTTTTCATAAAATACTCCCAAACTGATATCACTGATCACATTATTGTAATAGTATTTTAGCATATTTATAATCAGTTTAGTACGTTTACACTTTATTTTTGCTTGCAATTTTTATATACTTTTTATATATGTATTCTCTGTCTCTTCCCTATATTATAAATCATAAGGGCAGCATTATATTTGGCAGTTCTTGTCTTTAAAAATAATTAGTATTTGATCATCTAAATATGTCAATATTGTGATACAAGTGGCAAAATATATCGATATCTAAGATGATGGTCTAAAGCTGTAATTTTTGTCTGAAAATTTCTTTTTCTTTATGCTGAATGGGATCTTTAAAATAGAAAACATAACCATTAAAATTCATCAGATAAAATTTGATTTTGGCTTTAGCCAATATTTGATACAAAGAAGATTCTTTTACTCCCTTGTCTGTATTTCATATGTTTCTCTCTGTTGTCTTTTTAACTTATGGTAATAGTTTCAGAAAGCTTTAATCTCTTTTTCTTCTTTTGAATATTATGCATTTGCTACTGTGAGTTTGTTGCTGTGTAGCTTTTGCTGCAAAACCAAGTTAGCTCCTTGTTATGGTGTTTGCAATGACTCTGAGTATTGCAACTGATTATTATATTTGATAAACTGTCATGTATGTGTGAACAACTATTTTAAATTTGGATACAGAGAGGACTGATTAATAAACTTTATGGTTCTTTTCTTGCATTGTGGGTTTTTTTTTCCTCTTTAAAGGGATATAAATTAAAAGAAAACATATAAGGAGAATTTAAATGTGTTGTGTGTTTGGGGTAGGTCTGGAAGCACCATCAAATATCCATGAGGGCAAAGTAACAGACTCTTCCATAGAAATTCTCTGGAATCGAGCTGATGGGAATTTTCAGCATTATGAAATCACATGCATGAACTGTACTGCTGCTTTCATGGTATGTTACAAGCGGCTCTTGGAAGCATTAAACTTGAATCTTTCATGCTGAATCCAATATTACTGCATTCTTACATTAGATAGTAGTGAAACTAAATAGCCCCCATGCTTATTTGGTTGTGTTGAATCGTGGAACATTTTTATAATGGACACTTGCTAATTTACTTCTTTTGGATTGATAGGTCCAGAAGGTAGTTCGAGAAGCAGCAACATTCTCTAACCTGGATCCTGCCACAGTGTACACTTTCTCAATTCGCACTGAAAAAGAAGGTTTTAAAGACAGCACTCCTCATATAAAGGAAATACAGACAGGTACAGCCTGTGTAATAAGCACTTTAGGGTATTATTCAGCGTTCAAGTATTTATTTCATTCTTTAGGGAAGATTTTTTTTTCTTTAGGGAAGATTTAGTAAATAGTTTATTCTTCCCAGATTTTCTTTAGGGGCAGGCAGTGTCTTCTCTTGTCTCTTTTTTTCTGTTTCCCCTTATCTGGGTTAGAATAACCTCTTTTGTACATGCCTTGCCAGGCAGTAGAGTGGCTAATTGCCTGGGGCCTGGCCAGATTTTCCATTTGTGATTTAATTTCTTCATCGTTCAGTTAAGCAGACAATGAAGTGACATTTCCTCAGTGTTAGCAACTTACTCCCCATGGCAGATGGTGGTTATTCCATGCTAGTCACACGAAATATGGGATGATTGGGAAGAATGTGGGCAAAATGTGTACATTTTCATATCTAGGTGACGTAAAATTTTCAACTACTCTACTAATGTAGATATTTTAGTGATTCTCGACGCTGATGCTACGGAAACATTGATTTATGTGTTTAGAAACTGGTCATGTCTGATATTCTTTTACTATTAACACAGACTGGAACTGGGAGAGAATATCTTGGCAGTTTTGTTCCTTTGTTATACATGGAAGAATTTTAGATACAAAATATATATTGTACACTATTTCATTTACCTTTTTTTCCTTGGGAAACAAGGGAAGCATTGCATATTTTTTAAAAAGATTTTATTTATTTATTCATCAGAGAGAGAGAGAGAGAGAGAGAGGCAGAGACACAGGCAGAAGGAGAAGTAGGCTCCACGCCAGGAGCCCAACGCGGGACTTGATCCCAGGATTCCAGGATCGCGCCCTGGGCCAAAGGCAGGCACCAAACCTGCCACCCAGGGATCCCTGACATTGCATATTTAGATTACAATGATTTTTCCTGCTGAAATAGAACCTTGTCATTGTTTGGTATTTAATTGGAATGAGTCCTACAAGAATCATTAAATATTTTTGGGATTGGTGGTTTTGGGGGAAAATTAGTTTTCTCTCTACCTTTCTAGGTCCTTGACTGAGACACCTCAATCTGCCTAAGACTGATTGACAGGAGAGAAATAAAAACAAAAATTTAAAAATATGTATAATCCGTGCATACATGGGAGAGACCCAGGGAATACGAGAAACTCTCTGAAATGGCCTAAACCACCACTTTAAATACTATCTCCAGAAAATGTTGAGGGGGGATAAGGGAGCCAGTTATGGGAGGCTACCAGGAAAAGCACAGTAAACAAACGTAAGATTGTTATGCAGATTTAGATCTATCTTCTCCATTGATAAGTTTTTTTTATTATTTAATAAATTTATTTTTTATTGGTGTTCAATTTGTCAACATACAGAATAACACCCAATGCTCATCCCTTCAAGTGCCCACCTCAGTGCCCGCCACCCAGTCACCCCCACCCCCCGCCCACCCCCCCTTTACCACCCCTAGTTCGTTTCCCAGAGTTAGGAGTCTTTCATGTTCTGTCTCCCTTTCTGATATGTCCCACTTATTTTTTCTCCTTTTCCCTTTATTCCCTTTCACTATTTTTTATATTCCCCAAATGAATGAGACCATATAATTTTTGTCCTTCTCCGATTGACTTATTTCACTCAGCATAATACCCTCCAGGTCCACACGTCGAAGCAAATGGTGGGTATTTGTCGTTTCTAATGGCTGAGAAATATTCTAGAGATTTAGTTAGACTTCTCTGCCCAGTAGAGGGAGACACTCTTATGAATAGAGATTTCCCTTATAATTGTAAAATGTCTCTTACAGAAGGTAATTTTACTCAGTTTTCAGAGTTTCTCCTGTGTCTGCATTTTTTAAAAATAACCAGCTCAAAATAATCCTTATGCCGAAGAGGAGTATTTTGGGGCAGCATATTCTACTCCTCTTCAGTGGTTGCGCAAGACCAAGATATAATCTCTCCCTACATTTCTGAGGCAACGAAATATTGGTTACAGTACTACAATAACACCTATTGGCTCCATTTTAAAGTTTAAAATGATTCTTGCTAGGGTTGTTTTTTTTTTTTTTCTCTTTTTTTGACTTTTAGCTTTTCATATGTACCAGGAAAAATGAAAGGAATGTCTTGGTTACCCTCAGAGTTTGCAGAAAGTAAAACAGATCTTGAGAGTGTTTCAAGGCTGTGGTAAAGCAGGTGCTTTGTGCAGTAGAAAATGTTATTTTATGTGTTTGTTTTAATGATATAGCCCCAAGTGCAGCTGAATTTATGAACCATAGTAGAAACTCCAGTGCAATAACTGTTAGCTGGCCATCAGCTAGAAGTCTTCTGGATGGATACATCATTTCAATATCCAGCAAAAGCTTAATGAAAGAGGAAGTCCTCCTGTCTTCCACACAAAGGTATGAAAATATTGAGAAAAGAAATGGAGTCAAGTTACATGGAACACGAGATTAACATTTTATATATACATTTTTGAAAAGCTATATTAGTGACTTAATATAAACAGAAATTAGAAAACAGGGGATCCCTGGGTGGCGCAGCGGTTTGGCGCCTGCCTTTGGCCCAGGGCACGATCCTGGAGACCCGGGATCGAATCCCACATCGGGCTCCCGGTGCATGGAGCCTGCTTCTCCCTCTGCCTGTGTCTCTGCCTCTCTCTCTCTCTCTCTCTCTCTCTCTCTCTCTCTCTCTCTCTGTGACTATCATAAATAATAAATAAAATTTAAAAAAAAAGAAATTAGAAAACATTGTAAAAACATTTTGGGCTGCATTGTGATTAGAATAACTGAGTCAGATGTAGAGTAATAATCCTTTCTGCATATAATAATGAATTAATTCAAGATATCTCATTTTTTACTTAAATTAATTTCTCTGCACAAGAAGCTATGATTTCTCATTAACTATTTGTGCTGGAGCATAGCAGATTGACAGTAAAAATACCACAAGACTTATATATAAAATTCTTTCTGTAGACAGGGTGAGAAGATGGGAGTTTTCCAAATGTTTCTGAGCTGAACATTTTAATATGTGACTTTTTTTTTTTAACGTGTAGGACCTTCACATTTAATAGCCTTGCTTCAGGGACTGACTTTTTAATTAGCATTATAACTACCAAGGGACTGAAGAGAAGCCATCCTACTGTCCTCATGGTTAGCACTTGTAAGTTTATTTTATATTTAATTGACTTTTCATGTGTAAAAAAGATTGGAAATGGTTGTGTTTAAAGCCAATATCTAATTAAAAATGAATGAAAATGTAAGTGGTTTATGGCATGCTTGAAAAGAAGGAGCCCTGCATTTATTTGGAGAATGCCTGAATTATATTCCTGCCTCTATCACTTATTAGTTATGTGACCTTGGGCAGAACTATTAAGTTTTCACTTAGAAAATGAGAATAATTATTCCTGCCTATGTACAAAATCTTGTTACTAAATTCCAAACACAGAGCTCTTTGTGCAAGTGCCAAGTACTCTAAACCTCAAGATATTATTGTCATGAGACACTCAATATTTTTTCTATTATTTTGACTGTATTTAACATTTTATGAAACACAAAACAACACTTGGAATATGACAAAGTATATAGCACTGCCTTTTTTTTTTTAATTGCATTATTTGGGTTCAGTTTGCCTCTTCTGACCTTATTAGCATCCCTTACACGTATGCCTGCCCTGAACATGTGCAGTGTTTCCAAGAAACCCTTTCACTTGGGCCCAGCACATGCACCTGTGCTCAAAGACCAGTGTCCTATCAGTGTGAGAGGAGGCTCAACGTCAGAATTCGCAGTGTGGAGGAAGAGAAAGCACTGGAAAATGGGTGACAGTCAAATCGATTCCTGGAAAATATGCTAAAATGTCTGACCAGTTACAAATCGCCAGCACGGTATTATGTGCTTACATCACCGTATTGAATCTACCCAGGCTACCTCAGATGTAGGTTAAGGTTTAGAGGTATTCATAACTCATCACCGAGGGTGAGATTTTTAACCCAGTGTCTAACACTAAAACTGATATGACACTCTGCTCCCTCTCCTAAAGACCATTCGAGGAAATGTCAGAAATAGATGAGAAACAGCTTCATTTTTAAAATTGGATTTAAAAAATTTATAAGTGAAAATTTCTTTGCTGCTTTCATTGGGGCTGTATCATTATCAGGTCACCATCACCGTCTTTGTTATTGTTGTCATCATCAAATAGAGTGCCTGTTGTTTGTCAGAGATTTTGCAAAGTATTTTCTATACTTCATATCACAATTCTGAATGGCGACTTTTATTCTATGGATCCTAATGAGATGCATATGTTTACCTTTCTTATAAATGAGGAAACTGAGGCTTAGAAATTTTAGTAGCTTATACAAGATATCAAAGATTTGAACTTGGGTTTCCCTGACATCGGATTTTACCCTTGTAACCACTGTGCTTCACTAGAAAGGCTGCTACATCATAGGAAGGACACTACCCATTCTTGGCTCTGTGACTTTGTATGGATCCTGATTCTATTTGGATCTCAAGATCTTCATTTCTACTCTGGGTTTCATAATACTTTCATATTTTATGACCTTGCTTTGGCTGTGTTTTCCAAGACAAGGCTGGCAATTATTTTCCCCCATCTTTTCCACTTTACTATTTGCCTTTTACCTTCTACTGCATAATAATAATTTTGACCTTCCTGTACCTCCTTTTTCCACAAGCCACCTCAACTCCATTTGGAGGTAGATGGAATATTAATAAATGTATAAAATAGAGCTAAAATATATTATGGTAATTTGGAAGCATAATAAATTGATTCCAGTTAGAAGGGAATATGCATCACAGAAAAATAAAAAGGATAGTGAATCAGTGACTCCGGTTTAAATCTACCACTGAGCTGCATTCTAATAAACTTAAATCAATATGTAAGTAGGGACAAAAAAAATCTCATGCAAAATTTGAATTTTACAGATGAAATTATTCCAATAAAATATTAATATTATGTTTCTCTCAGTTAAAGCAATGCAATATGAAAATTTTTAATATGTATTAGAAATACAGTTATGTTATCAATTTGAAGAATAAAATTCAAGAACCTTCTCAGATATAATATTTAAAGGGAAAAGGAATTTGTGAACCTAAGGCAAGGAGGATAGAGTGATCTCTTACTTTATGTAGTGCATAAAATTGTAAGTTAAAAATCCCACTTGTAATGACTTTATACTGAATTCTGCTATGAGAAAAAGTTAAAATCCATAGTTTGCATAATTTTATTGTGGGAAGAGGCTTTCTAGAAAATTATTTTGTCCTTTCCATTGAAGAGTTGAGGAGACTGAGATTCAGGGTAGATAATTTATGCAAGATCACATAAGGCTAAAACGGACTGGAAAAACCCCATATCCTAGGACTCTTCCATAGTGTGACAGTCAAGGGTTTTTTTTTTTTAATTATTTAAATTCAATTTAATTAACATATACTGTATTATTAGTTGCAGGGATAGAATTAAATGATTCATCATTTGCAAATAATATGCAGTGTTCCTTATATCAGGGCCCTCCTTAGTGACCATCACCCAATTACCCCTTCCCCGCACCTCCCCTCCAGTAACCCTCAGTTTGTTTCCTAGAGTTCATTGTCTCCTTTGGGTTTGGCTCCCTCTCTTTTTCATCTTATTTTCCTTCCCTTCCCCTATGTTCATCTGTTTTGTTTCTTAAATGCCATATATGAGAGAAATCATATGGTACTTATCTTTCTCTGACTGATTTATTTCACTTAGCATAATACCCTCTAGTTACATCCACATCATTGCAAATGGCAAGATTCCATCCTTTTTGATGGCTAATATTCTGTGTGTGTGTGTGTGTGTGTGTGTTTATATACCACATTTTCATTATCCATTCATTTGTCAATGAACATCTGGGCTCTTTCCACATTTTGGCTATTGTCAACATTGCTGCTATAAACTTTGGGGTGCATGTGCCCTTTTGAACTATATATTTGTATCTTTTGGATAAATACCTAGTAGTGCAGTTGCTGGGTCATAAGGTAGTTCTATTTGTAACTTTTTGAGGAAATTCCATGCTATTTTCTGGAATGGTTGCACCAGTTTACATTCCCACCAATAGCGTAAGATGCTATTCTCCACATCCTTGCCAACATCTGTTGTTTCCTGAGTTGTTAATTTTTGCCATTCTAACCAGTGTGAGGTGATAGCTCTTTGTGGTTTTGATTTGTACTTCCCTAATACCGAATGATGTTGAACATTTTTTCATGTGTCTGTTGGCCATTTGTATGTCTTTTTTGGAGAAATATCTGTTCATGCCTCCTACCCATTTCTTGACTCGATTTTTTAGTTTTTGGGTGCTGAGTTTGATACATTATAGATTTTTCTAAAGCTGTCATTCTAGTGTCTTATTTCATTGCCCTAGATCCAGACCCACCATCAGATTTGATGATTTTGGGGCAGGAAGAAAACACAATATATTTGTCTTGGAAACTTCCACAAGGAGGCTTTGAAAAGTTTCAGGTAAAGAACAGTGCTGCTGTTACACAACCTTGATGTTTAGGGGGGCGGGGGGTTTATTTCACTCTGTTTTTTATGCTTTTTTTGCATAATGGTTTTAGAAACTATTCTACTTTTAATGTAAGATTTTCCTCCAAAGTAATTTTTCTGTTTACTGCTTTAAAAGTACAAGGTTATCATGGAAAAGTGTTTAAATAAGAATCAAAGCCAATATTTTAAAAGAGTTTGGTTTTCAACATAGATATGTGCACACATAGTACAAGGAAGTGAACAAAGGGATGATGGTGCTGAAGAGTAATTCTTCTGTGACAGCACTGGTCAGAACAAAGATTTGAGCTGTTAAGCTGGGTGATGTGTCACAGGCTCCCTTCCAACCTTATCCTAGAGATTTAGTTGAGTAGAGACTTCTAGCCAAGAGAGTAAGAGAGTAAGATGTATGAGAAGCCACTTTACAACTGTGTCTCTTATTTGTAGTAAACATGTATGTTTTGTTGCCTCTTGTTATTAATAATGTAATCTGGCATCACATGAGAAAATATATTCACCCTACATTCTACATTGTATGATTTGCAGAGTAAACTTCCAGAGATAGCACTATTGCTTTGTATTCTATGGGGGCAAACGACTTTTCCATGCTTTCTTAGTGGTAGGAGATAATAATTTGAGTTATAAACAATAGAAAACAACCTGAAATAGTTTAAGCAGTAAAGAAAAAAGTGTATTAATACAAGAGTGCTTCATAGATACCAAGCTAAGGGGAGCAACTGGGTGTTAGGAAGACCTACAATCATATATTAAGGTTGTGGAGAATCCAAGGATTGTTTTCTTTTCTGTCTACTTCTGCTCATTTACCTTATTTTTTTTTCTAATAACCAGTTTTCTTTACTAAGGAATCCATGTGGTGAATGAAGGAAGGCTGTATACACCCTCTGAGTACAAATGGTGCATTACCAACCACAGAGAGACAGATTTTCCTTAAATTCCCAGGGGAAGGACTGTGATTATTCCAAATTGGATTAGATTCCTAGTACAGTTCCAGTTAACTGTGCTTGTAGGTCTCAAATCATGTAAAAAATGGTGGCAGCAAGTCTGTGGGGGAGAAGGGTTATTAAAAACAATCATTAGATTTGGGGGAAATACAATGAAAGATGTTTCCTATGAACAAAAAATTTAATAATTTATAGAATCTGTGCAATCTAAAAGGAACGAGAGCAATAAAATTACCAGATACCTGATGTGAACACATTAATACATCTGGGCTTTAAATTTGAGAATGAATTTCGTAACAATTAAGGTCAAGGAGAGAAACAAGATAATAGGCTTGTATAAAATATAGAGTCCATCTAATATGTACACTACCTCGTGTGATCCTCAGAGTCGGAGCCTAACAACCTGTCTGATTTGTTTTCTCTGGTTTCCATATTTCAGCAGCATTGTATTGCCTACCATTACCCACATATTTTGTGTTTTCCTGATTCTATTCCTTAGTCATGTTCTTTTAACCAGAATACATTCTCTCCCATTATTCTTTGACAGTTCTTTAAGGTGCTGCTCAGATATATTATCTCTGTGGAAGCTCCCTTGAACACCAGTTAGCAGTCTCCCATACTAGAAAATTTTGTGTCATCCTTGACTCTTTTTTCACGTCCGTATGTACTTGTTTACTGAATCCTGATGATTCCAACTTTGAATTACTGTGAAAGTCCTTCTTTTCCTTTCCATTTCTTTTTTCTTTGCCTCTTTTCAGGATCCTACTATCATTGTTGGCTCCCTTGTGCTTCAGGGATGAAGCTGACCTCCAGGACAATCCTTACAAATCTATTGAGCCATCATCTCATTTCCTTTCCCTGCACTCATCTTAAATTACAGGCTTATATTATAAATACATTAAACATCTTACTCTTTCTCTCCTTAGTAGTACATACCTCTTCGAGACTCATCCCTTGTAGGTTGTTTCTTTCTGAAGTATTTATTGATGTATTTTTTTACTCACCACATTTTGGGGGATAGCTTCCCCAGATACTTCTAAAAATAACTATTCTCTTCTGTGATCCATTGAACTTCACGTTCATGTCTTTGTCATAGCCTTTATACAGTATACTTGTTTTAAACAATTTTTTAAGTATAATTGACACACAACATTAAATTAGCTTCAGATGTTTACCACATACTTGTTTTGTTGTCTGCTTAGGAGCAGACATGATTGCCCACCAGGAATTTCCTTGCGTGCCAAAGCAGATGACACAACAACAGTCAGGATTCACAACAAATTGAGGATTCCCAGAAGGGGATAGGCTCATATAAGGGTCCAATGAGGAGGGGAAAAAATAGAAAGGAGGAGGGGTTGACTTTTGGTTTATATTGTGATTAGAGGATTGAGCTGGAGCAAGGGCTTCCTAGAGGACCTAGAAGCTCTGAGGTTTGAAAATTTTCTGCCCTTAGAGGAAAAAGGATCTAAGGCTTTCTTATCTTGGAGACCCAGATGTAGGGTAGGCTGGGAAAAGAGTTAGGGCTCTAAAAGTTTTCAATAGTCAAATACAAAATAGAGTTAAACTGTTTATATTATAGTATTTTAATTAATTATATTTAAGATTAGAAGAAATAAGTAAGATAAAAGGGAATTGTTATTATTTTTTTAAAAGATGGGGTGTAGTGCATGCCTTCAGGCTGAGTTGAAAGATTCCTTGAACAGTAATAATTTCATTCATTCAACAAATCCAACATTCAACATTAAAAAAAATTATTCCTTCAACAACAAATTCTTGACTTTATGGTGCTTACATTAAAAAGAACTGCAGATATGAGAAAGATAGTGACTAGAATGGCTTAAAAAAGCCTGGAAGAGGTGAGCTCAAGCCTAAACCCTCTAAAACCAAAAGGAAAAATGGTATTGTATGTTAAAGGTCTGGTTGATTAACCAAGTCAAATTTTAAAATGAACTATCTTAAATGAATTTTTTAGTCTCAGTCTCCAAGTATTATCAATTCCATTACTGCAATATAAATTCCAATTGGCTCTTAACGGGTTCTCAGAAAACCAAACCATCTATAAGTTCTCTACCAATGTGAAATGATGGGGTCTGCATGGCATGTAAAGTAATTAGAGTTGAAATCATAGAGAATATAAGAAAACAAGTATTTTATATTTCTCATGATATTAGTGGACATCAACTTCAAGTCTACCTGTTTTCAGAAAATTAAGCTCAGAGTGATATGCAAAATATTCTGGTAATAAATTTCATAATAGGAATTTCTTTACAAAACAGAAATCCTTGTTTTGTTTTGCCTAGCATTCAAAAAGAACATTTATTAGTATGGACAAACTGTGAAATTCATTTGAACACCAAATATTTGTTCTAGTGAGTAATCCTCTGAAACTATTAGATTGCTGGCTTTCTTTTCATGAGCACTGGGAGTGCAAAAAGATTTATATCCTTTAAAGAATCTCATAACTATAATGGAACTGAAGGTATAATCTATTCCAAGCATGAAAATAAACATTGGCTCACACATTTAAGACCTAAAAGAATTCAGTGTGAACTTAGAAAAAATCAAATAGTTGATATAGAACATCAAAGGAAATTTGCCATTTCCTTTCTTACATCTTTCAACTGTTTTTTTTTTTTATGTACTCCAAGTTATGTTATAGACCGGCACTGTCAATAGAAATATAACAGAAACCATAAATGAGAACTATATGTATAATTTTAAATTGTCTAATAGAAACATTAAAAAAAAGTAGCAAGATACAAGTAAGGTGGCAGTCCAGGGTGGCAGCATAGGAAGATCCTGAACTCTCCTCCTCCCACAGACATACTGAATCCATAGCTACATATGGAACAATTGCCTCTGAAAAAGATCTGAAGACTAGATGAACAGCTCCTTTCCAGCAAACAATAAAAGGGTCATATTGAGATGAATATGAGAGGCTAAGGTGCAGTCTTGCCAAAAACCCCAATCCTGGCACAGTAACCCACGATAGGGAGGAGTATCACAAACCTGGAGCTTCTCTCTGAGAAGCAAAGTGTTCATACCCCACACCAGGCACCCCAACCCCGAAGATCTGCACCAGAATGATGAACCCCCATAACATGTGGCTTTGAAAACAAATAGGGCCTATGTCCAGAGGGCAAAATGGGCTGCAAAATATTGAGATGCTACTCTAAGGGCTCTCACACAGACTCATTCTCCTTGAGGCTCAGCTGAAAGCAGTAGTTTGAAAGGTATCTAGACTATATGTGAAGGAGATTCATTTGCTTATCTTAAAAAGTTTCTGCTGGAAAGGCAATGGCCTCTTGGGACACTGTCCAGGGACAGAGGTCTTAGCAGGGGCCATTTTTGTGCTTTTCCTCTGCCTTCTTCACACTGGTGGGCCTGTGTTGTCCCTACATTCTCCCACTGGCCTGGTAAAACCAGTAGGTATGCCTCAGCCCTGCACTTTCATACTGCCTTGCTAAAGCCATAGGTACATAGTCTACACAGGGAATATTCCTTGATGTTCTGGTTCTGGTGGCCAGAGGGGTTTATGTTTCTGGGTTACATGGGATAGTAATGATTAGAGAGACAGTTTTAAAGGTCACCATCTCTAGGGCACTTCACAGATGGCAGAGTAAGACACATCTCCAGTGAAAAAGGCCTATTTACTTGTCTTGGAGCTTCAGCCTGGAGAACAGACCTCAATTTTGCCACACATTTAGAGGCTATTTAAGTATTCTCAGGGAATGAAAAAAAAAAGTATTCTCAGGGAATGTATGCTGGGGGACACCATCTTTGTGCTTTCTCTTGGCCTCACTAAACTTGATGATACCTCCCAGAAAGGAGGTTTTACACTCATCTGAAGCCCTGATTTTTACAACTTTTGCCCAGGGGACATGTCTAGACCACCTGATCTGAAGGCCAGCAGGATTTATGATTGTGATCCCACAGGATTATATACATTTGCATACAGTAAAACCTGCTTCTTGGGGGTCTGCATTCCTATCACTCTGGAACTAGGGATGACTGAGATCTCTCCCTTTGAAACACTAGCAGGTCTTG